AAAGCAGGGTACTTTGCCGCGCGTAGCTATTATCACTACCATGACAATAATCTGCTCATTTTACCAGAAACATTTTCTGTTTATCCCAGATCGTTTGTCCTCTTGCTTTATTTTTCTCCGATTATGGAATGGCAGTCAGTCTCACCAGCATTTCCCAAGACCAAGGTTGTCCGTAATAATTTTACCGAGCCTTTCTTGTTATTCTTCCCTTTGTATAGCTCTTGATAGCTGTCACTACCCGCAACACTTCCAGAATAGTCACCTAACATTTCACATCAGTTTTGAAACATTTTTGGGTTATTTGCTATATCTTCCTGTCTGTACTACTGCCTCTAGCTCTTATGTCGATAACTTATGCTCCTAGTCAGCCCTTTGGTATTGCTTTTGCTCGACACCAATTTCTTTCTGCCCGCCTAAATGTCATGGATTTCGACTCTTTTAGGTAGTGTACGAGCTTGTCAATCCGAGATGGGAAGTCGCGATTGCTGCAAGTAATCTCGGCTTCCAACAGGTCAGTTTTGTCAACAGCATAGCCACCACCAAGGGCGGAAAACACATCGACTACATTGCAGACCAAGTAGCCAACAAGCTCGTTGATGTCGTCAAAAAGAAAGCCGGAAAGTCAGGTGTTGCGGTGAAAGGTTTTCAGATTCGCGCGCACATGTGGGTGTTCGTCAACTGTCTCATCGAAAATCCCTCCTTTGACTCGCAAACCAAGGAATTAATGACACTGCAACAAAAGAGCTTCGGATCGACGTGTGTTTTGAGCGAAAAGTTCATAAATCAGGTAAGTTAGTCGGTTTCTATCCCCGTTTGCAAATCCACTTACAATTTGTTGATTTTCTTATACCAGTCTATAATCTTATATTTGGAACATGTACTGACTTAATAATAAGTTTGTTGCAGACGCCAGCGACAACTACAACACTACAGTGGATATAGCATTGGCTTTACGTCATTTTTTAAAGCAGGTTTGCTCGTTATCTAATATGCTGTTTCCACCTACTGTATTCTACTAATCGGAAGTGTTTGAGAGTACAGTGAGGGTTGAGACTGAAACGAAGTCTGTACGTATCGCATAAATTAGCTCCCTGTTTTATTACACATGGGCCGCTAACGTGTGCTATCAGATCACACGTATATATTAAGTAGGAGAAATTGCAGTCTTATTCTCGGTACAGGGTTGGAACAAAATATATCACTGGGAACAAAATTTTTAAAACAGATCGCAATCATTTGCGGCGACTTATTTTCTTGTGGTAAGAGAAATCGATGGACGCTATTAATCTTTCCTTTCCACCTTAGGGGTAAGTTTGAGCCATGCCCAGTGGGGATGGTATTAACCACTGCGACTGAAGTAGCATAAAGCGTTGACTATCGTTACCAACGTCGTCAAACTCGCATGACTGTTTTACAAATGGCAAGTTTTATTTTGACAATAGTTTCAACTAAGGTGGATATAACTGATTGGCCGAACTGTGGCCTATGCATCTGGGGCGATGGCGGTTCTTGGGGTGCCATAAGGTAGTTGCGTTGACATTATAGGGGGGTTTGATGGTGCCCAGCAAACCATTTAGATATTTAGACACCAGCTAGCAGCATGGACCTTAAAGGAAGTAAACAGAATCCATTTTGGTTCCAAATGCTCTTATTTTTCGCGATTGTATACCTGCCTTGACCTCCCTCATTCATTTGTCTGGCTAATAGCTGCTACCGTGCTTACGATAGATCGTCATGTCTGCGTGTTCTGCATAAGGATTTTCAAGGCCTTTTTGACCGTGCTTTCTGTACTTCATGCCTACGGGTATATTAGTTACTTCTAGTGCCTGGGTTTCCATATTTGTTTTCTGTTCATGCAAACGTGCTCC